GAAGCTAATACCATATTAAACAAAACTGACTTAGAAATTGGATCATAGTAGCCTGGATAACACACCCACGTACTCTCGCGTATTTATAGTCATTATGGAATTAACATTCAAAGCTCTGTTAGTAGCACAGGGACAATTTCATTATCAATTGCAGGTTTCTGTTACATGTCATTATAGCGCGTAAGCCATCCGTGATCTATTAGTAACAATTTAATGTAACCTTACGATACGATAGAAATTCTCGTAACATTGTGTAAACCTGCAAACAACTGTATAGACTAATCCGTACTGCAGTTGTGTCGGAGAAGTTGCCTGACATAGCTGGCGAAATCTTTACGGTGACGACGAACGATGTTGAAGATTGTATAAAACAGCTATGAAACTTGTGGTAATGCGTTAAGATCGACGTTCATGAAATGGGATTTTGTATTAAATAAAGTACAGCTCTTTACTTTCGATATATCGCATCCGGAAACCCACAGATTGCTTTCTGACATGTCTTGAGCTCAAGAACAAAAAAATCAGAACACCTTTGTCTCCTGACGGATGAATGATCTCCGTTGTATAAGATTCTAGAAAAGTGAAAGATGTATAAATTCTATAATGATGGAAGCTGAATGTAAGAGGACCTTAATGATTTTATATTACGTCAGTAAGTCCGTTCTTTACGGACATTATTCCGTAAAACAAAAAGGAAACAAATAGGGTACCCGATAATAGTTACGGGGCAATCCAGTTCAAGCATTAATATCATCTTACAACCGAACAACATTCTCTAATCCATTTGGAGTCATTGCTGTAATCTCCTAGCTGACTGAACACACCGAGAGCTGGCTCTGGTCGTCCATAAAAGTTATTAATGTCCTTCCAGCTTAAAAACGTCCCTTATGTTTCCGAACGGAATTGAATATTTGACTGCAATGTTGAAAGACTTATTTACATACCCGAATGTCATACACCCAAGAAAAAATCATGATTCCATAGAATAATTTTTCTGTGTCCTTTCTACAGGAATGATCTGTAACAGGTCGAAAGTTGCTCCTTTAGCTCCCGAACAAAATTAATTACTTCACAACAGCATTAAAAACTGCATTTCAGTAAACCTAATCGATAGCCACCCTTAGCGTTAGCGATACCAGAGATTTCACAGAATATTATTTTCGAAATCTCTCCATCATCATGTCGACTTAAATAGTGCTACAAACAGTCGCCATACTTATGCGTGTAACTGCTTGGTACTACGATAAGATTTGGCCTACGAAATAACTAGTAATGAATTCACACTGCTTTCATCAACAGCTGAGTGTGGTCCTGGTAACTAAGGGTACCGCAAGCTTGAATACGCAATAATTTTGTAGTTAATGGGCAGTAATATTTCCGAAAGTTAATTCAATCGATTTACAGAATTGGTGGCTATTGTTCAAGTCATTACATAATAAAATTATTATATACGTAATGTTTCATATTGGGATCTAGAAATTAAGACATTGCTCTATTTACTTTCTGTAGAAGACCCTAACCTTAAAAATTAAATTATCATACATGTGGTTATGGCAGTAACCCACAAAAAAAAGTATGACAAAATGATAAGACCTATTCTTATGCTGGAAATGAAGCCATGAAAACTCTCTGTATGAACTACAATTTCTCATGATTTCTGTGGTCTAGTGGTCAGAGTTCCTGGCTACAGATCCAGAGGTCTGGGTTCCATTCCCGAAGCTACCAGATTTTCTGAGAATCAGTGGGTCTGGAACGAGGTCCACTCAGCCTCGTGAGGATATCTGAGGAGCTACTTGAATGGAAAAGCCGCGGCTATAAAACCGAAATTAACAGCCTGGGGATTTGTTGCGCTGATCACGCGACGCGCTATATCCGCAAAAGTTGTCAGAGTTATACGAGCCAAATACCTCCTGAATACAAAAACGTTGTCTGTCAGAGTTCAGTAAACACTGAGATTTGCACCCAAAGCACAGTGGTTAAGAGCGAGTTCTCGTATCTAAGTATTATAAGCTACTGCATTAACTTTTATTGACGGAAAGCAAAGCGGTTTGGTTCGAAATAACAGTTCATCTGAAGTATAATTTAACTAGACATGGGAAGTCACATGTTTAGTCCGGACGACCTGTCTGTCTCGAACACACTGCGTTCCATCATTTATTCTGTGAAACTAAACGCATTGTTGGAAGTTCCTGGGAGAACTAGTTCCATAACAGGGACACCCACCTCTTCCTTCTCAAACCTGTTTCGATATGCCCCCAAGGGACAGCTTTACTGTTTTTTTCCGCTCTTCTTAATATTCTGCCTTAACACATACATAGTCAACCTTGTTTATTGTGTAATGCCCACCAACAGCCTGGTCTTGGCTGAATTCCATCATGTCAAACAGACGGATCCCAACAAGAAGGTGAACTTGAAAATACAAACACACAGTTTTCCCTCTTCTGAAGACTTGTGCACGTATGATATTATAACAACATAACTGTAATGACAGATATTTGCCATAAAATGCCTGCTTTGATAATCTGCACATCTTACATCGATTTGTTTTGGTTATGATCTGATATTTCTATATCCAATATTCGTACTGTTTTAGGCCACTAACAAAACCGTACGACTATGAATATTAATTTGTTTTTTTATGGCTCTTTTGGGGTTTTGTGCAACATTCTTTTTTTAGGACAAGCAAGACTTAACATCTGTCATCCTCTAGCAATAACAAATTACGGATTCCTGTAACCGTTAAGACTGACGGAGGATGCTGTATAATTATGTTTCTACTGTTTCGCGTTCATTTCCTTATCTGTTACTCTGAAAGCTAATATATTCTGATATCGTAAGATAACGTACGGCAGCGTGATCCACAATGGGCACGATTTCAGATCGTCTAAACGCTGGATTCGCAGGTTCGAATCCCGATCGGAGCATCAGTATTTGTCCAAGTTACTTTATTGTGCGGTCCTAAGGAAGAAGAGAACCAGGACAACGCACTCGGTATAGCGACTGGCTACGGGCAGGATGACCGAGGGGTCGGAGTTCGAGTCCCAATGAGAGCAAGAATTTTCACTTCTCCATGTCGTCCAAACCGGCTCTGGGGCCCACCCAGCCTCTTTTCCAATGGATACCGGGAGCTCTTTCCCCGGGGGTAAAGCGGCCGGAGCGTGAAGTGACAACTCGCTTCCAACTAGTGCTGAGGTCAAGAAAACGTGGGTCTATACATCCACTCCCCCACACGTCTTCATGGCGTAGTCCTTAATTCGTTAAGCACAGGGACAACTTTACCTTACCTGAGGAGGCAGAGAGATCTTAGGGTGGGTTCAGCCCCAATCTAACAAGTCCTACCACCTGCATGAAAATGATTTAGAAAAAACTGATGAAAAGAGACCCACGCTCATATTGGGCTATAGCGAAATGAAGTATTTAAGACGGAATATAAACTTAAAGGGGTGTTATTTTCTGTGAGTAAACTGGATTGTCAGAAGTTTGGCTACTTGGTTTCTTTTTCCCAGCAGGGATGGGCTAAGCAGTGAGCAGTGAGCAGTGAGAACTCTTTCCCCGGAGGGAAAGCAGTTGAGGAATGAAGCTCACTACCGACACCATTTATATTCCGAGTAAACGCTGCGGGGGGCTTCACCTTGACTCCCCATACGCTGTCTTGGCATGGGGCTTAGACACAGGGGCGAAACTTTGCTGTCCCGTGCATTCGCGGAGAACAATCATGTGAAAGCTCTAACATACATCACGGGCTGATGCGCGATAAATCGTTAATCGGAAAACGGAGATTTTCCCAAAATGTTTCAATACAGGGTGATTCTAAATTATTGTCGGTGTTTCCGTGGCCTATAATTTTCAAACCGGCAAATATATAATAAAACTGGTTAGTCGTTTGTAATGTACCTAACTGCAAAGAAGCTAGTCTAGTTGATTTTTGTGAGCTTCGAGGAAACGCTTCCTGGATTCGATCAATATCTTCCTGCGAAATTCTCCGTCTTCCCGCTCCTCTTCAGCGCAGAACACTACCCTTGGTATTGCTTCAACCAACGCCAGATAGCATTATCTAAAGGTGGCTCTTTTCCATATTGAGTTCTGTGACGACGTTGCTTTTTGATAATGGACTTTGTTTCGAAAAAACAAAGTACGTACATTGCTTTCTCTTGAACAATCACAATTTTGAGGTACGACGTCATATTTTCCTCCAGACATTAATGCGGCGAGTAGAGTGTTGCAGAATAAAACTTTCTGAACTACATTTTCATATGGGCCGCGCCATAGCTCAAGCGGTTAGTCGCTGGCTTCCCATCGCGCCGACCCGGGTTTGATCCCGGGTCCGGTCAAGTGGTATTTGTGGTGGACAAAGTGGCGCTGGGGCAGGTTTTCTCCGAGTACTTCGGTTTCCCCTGCCAATCTTCATTCCACCAATTGTTCCACAATTACCCTCGCATATCATCTGGGGCTGGTACAATAGGCCAGAAGTGGCCGCAGTACAACGGACTTAGTCCGACCCCACTAGCAATAAAAAAAATAATACATTTTCATACTCCGTCTGCAGTTTTATTTTATTTCCGGTTTCAAAATTATATGCCACGGAAACACCGACAATAATTTTGAATCACATTGTACATTCACTAGTAATACTCTTAACTGATTTCTGCGTACCTATTTCGACAATTTGGTGCTTCTCAGTTGTAAAACAGATCATAATAAGTGTATTTCTTCTAAGCAAATTCAATATCACATACAATAACCTGCTATTAAATTAACGGAGCAAGCTTAAAGCACAACATGCAACGGAAATCCCGCTAAATGATACTTCGATATGATATACGAGTAGATTGCTTCTATTTCCTTGCCTATACACATAGCCTACGTGAATTTCATTGTAGCTTCTGAAAGCCAAGGTAACTACAACATACGGATGCTGTGTATAATTTCAGGGAGAGTTTTTACAGCAGACCGGTTCCCTTCCCCGTGTTTTTTTCCTTTCTATCTTTTCTTTCTTACAGGATCTGACTCAAAAGTGACAAAACAGCCATTTCGATGCCAGGAGGACATCGGAGCAGCGGTGAGAGGAACGACAGCCTGTCGTGTCCAGTCCCTCCAACTGGGTACGGTGACCAATAATGGAAGTGGCCTTACCCATGGCGGCGGCAGCCAATATGGATTGTTACGAAGACATGTTCAAGGAGATCACGAGGAAACTGTACGGCGAGGAAGGGTTACAGGACAACAACGGTGAAGGGGGCACAGGGGGAGGTAGTAGTAATAGTGGAGGTGGGAGTGAGGGCGGCATAGCGACAAGCATGCGCGCTGCTGCCGCCGCAGCAGCAGCAGGCGTAGGTGTGATGCCAGACTATGAAGGAGAAGGTAACGGTGGCGGGTTCAAACCCGATGATGGGCATCATTCACATGGTGCTTTAACAGCTTTCGGCCTGGCGGCATTAATGCAGAACGGCTTCCCCCCGCCACCAGGGATGTTGAGTGCTCATCATCATTTTCAAGACGCAAAGTACAGAGGCGGAGCCGTAGGAGTTGGCGGGGGTGGCCATCATCATCACCTGCACCACCACCATACCACTAGTTCCTCCGACAACAGTAATACGGTGGCAGAGGACAAGTGGGTTTCCAGTGAGGAGGTACTTCAGTGGACCAGCTCCAAGATTGCTAGCTACAACCCAGCCCAGAAACTGTTTCGTTGCTCTGAATGTGAATGTGTAGGGTTCCTGTCTCGCGTGGCGGAGCACTGGCTTGGAACGCATGCCAATCTGCGAGTATTCCAGTGTCCTCAGTGTCCGTACTCGAGTGCCTGGGCGCGCTGCGTGAGGATGCACCTTACCCGCCAACATAACGTGACCGAGACGCCAGGGGACGGCGTGGCTACCTTATATAAAGAAAACCCCGTCCTGGAAGAGGTTACCAAATTTTTACAAAGACTCAAGACCAAAGTAGAAACGGCGCCTACAACCACCAACAATAGCGGTGGGGTAAACAACCAGAAGAATCAACACGAGTTCCATCATCAACCTCCAGTTAGTGGTAGGACCAACACCTCGACCGACAATCAGAGTACAAAGCGTTATTCCTGTACGTATTGCCCTTACGCCACTGATCGGCGTGACCTCTTCACGCGCCACGAAAATATCCACCGCGAAGAGAAACCTTTCCAGTGTTACGTGTGCCAGAAACAGTTCAATCGCGCGGACCATGTCAAAAAACACTTCCTACGCATGCACCGCGATTACCCTTACGATCTTAACCGTATACGACGCCAACCGCCTAAGAACGCTAGCGGCATGTCTTACTATCATAAATACAACAATAACTCGACTACAGCTGGGTCCAACAACACGCATCGTCAGCACGACAACCAGAACAACCATCAAGCAATAATGACACCCCAGATCCATCAAGTGCACCAGCACCATAACCTCAATATCCCCGGAGGATTTTCCCCTGTGGGCCTGAGGCCTGGCACGAATCTTCCACCGATCAGCAAACCCAAATCACAGCCACCGCCCCCGCAGCATAACCACAACGGCTGCAACGCGAAGTCTCATGGCAGCAAGACAAAGAAGAAGGGTGAGAAACGTTATTCTTGCTGTTATTGTGCGTGGTCTGGTGTTGACAACTGGTGCCTGAAGCGCCACCTCAACACGCATCTGAAACCGTTCGTGTGTGTTCTGTGCGACTACAAGGCGGCTCGCTCGGAACGGCTCGCAACCCACGTTCTCAAAGTTCACAACAAAAGAGCATGTGGCCGGTGCTCCTTCCTAGCCGATGACCAAGCTCAGCTCAGCATTCATCTTCAAGAGCACCAGTAAGTACCACCTTGCTGGATGTGCTGACAGTGATCGAAACTAACCAAACTAACCAACCCTTAACAAACTGTTAACTGCAAGTCCGTCCGATAGCGCACCACACAACACCAACTGTGCTCAAACCTCTGTTTCTGGTTCGGTGGCACTACCATCGCACTTTGCTGTTATCATGATGCTATTGTTTACTCTTCATCTTCACTCTGCCACCACCTAATGTGTGTGAATTATATATGCAAAGCACAACCTGTGTTTCTAACATCGCCCTAACCACAGCCCTCCTTTCTCACTGTTTGCAGTCCACTGGAACACAGAAACAATCGTTCTTCCAACAACGTCCTTCGAAATGTTGGCTTCTCAAGCCATCCACCATCAGTGCCAGGCTCCTTTGGGTAAGAAAAAGATTATTTCCAATCTCCATGAAATGTTCTTTCTCTTTGTAATAAGCATTTATCTCGTTAAACGCTTATTATCCATTAATATTACTAACAAAAGCAATAATTAGCGCTAACTTCTTACGAACTGTAGTAGAGCTCATTAAGAGACTAACCAGGAAGTTCATACATTTCTTCTGATTCCTGTTGAAAAGCTAGCAATGCATATACAAGTTATGTATGGTAAGTGGGACAATGGTACTGATATTGTGGGTACATTTCTCAGACTTGTTTCCACAATGTGTAAGATATCAATACTAAATTACTGACAATTTTATTACCATTTAGTACGAATATGCTGTTAATGCAAGGAATTATTTCTCGTACAGATTACTGAAAGTACAGTTGTAATGAAAAAACACTTAATACTCATATAAATATGGTAGATAACATATGGGAAATTACTGAGATCATTTTCCTAAACTGGATTGTTTACTCGTGACATCTGAATCACCCTAAGAGAATATATGTCTCAGCTATCTGCGAAAAATTCAAATACTACTTCTGATGTAATTTTGCAATGTTCTATTAGCTTTCAACATGACAAATTTACCTCACGTTGTTTACTTCAAGTAAGGGTAAAGGTAAAGTTTTCCCTTAACTTAATTAAGCACCACACTATGAAGACATGGGATAATGCTGTGCATATTCTTAACCCTGGTTCATTAGGTGGAGGCAACTGGTCAGCATCAATAGAGCCCTCAGTACTCACTGGGTAGGATGCTGTGTTGGCCCCAGGACCAGTCTGGATGATGTGAAGAAGACAAAAGTCTCTTGTCTCTGCTGGGAATCGGACCCCAATCCCCTGGCTACCCAGCCAGACAGTCAACATGGAATTAAGCATTTAAGTGTTCCCTTGCTAATCATCATTCTACCAATACTCCATGTTCAGCTATCATCATCATCGTGGGCCACACCATAGCTCAAGCGGTTAGTCGCTGGCTTCCCACCACGGTGGCCCAGGTTCGATCCCGGGTCTGGTCAAGTGGGATTTGTGGTGGACAAAGTGGCACTGGGGCAGGTTTTCTCTAAGTACTTTGGTTTCCCTTGCCAATCTTCATTCCACCAGTTGCTCCACAATCACCCTCACCTATCATCTGGGGCTGGTACAATAGGCCAGAAGTGGCCGCAGCACAAGGGACTTAGTCTCACCCCACTAGCAATAAGAAAAAATCATCATCATCAGAGTCTGGAACAACTGGCAGGCAGCAGTTCTCTGTGTAAAGAGACAACTTATTTTTGGAGTTATGGTTCCTGTATTTTTGTCTATTATATTTTGAAATCTTATTTTATATTTAACACTTCTGTGAAATCAAGGCTGCAAGAAAGACGCCTCAGTACCGTTGCTCAATTACTGTAAGATAATACGAGATGAATGCAGCAGGGATCTAGATGCAGCGCTTCCACTCGGGAGGAAGTTGTATTAATTGGTTGATGTAGTCCCCTGCCTGTTGCAGGAATCAGAATGTTGGCTCCACCAACAACAGCCACGGCCTGGTGAAACGCGAGCATTTTGAACTGGAGACAGTCACGGCTAGTGCTGTACTGCAACAGCACGGCCGTGTGGTGCCTCCTCCAAACCTGCACAGCCACCACAATTCTGGGGAGGACCAGTACATGAGGGCAACCAAGCAGCACTATGGCGCTGCGCGGCTGTTCCACTACATGGAGGCCTCAGACACATCTGATCCTGAGGAAAATGGGACTGACTACCAGGAGGAGGAAGAAGAGGAGCCGCCTCCGTTCATCTGCCGTGAGTGTGGCTGTGAATTTGTGGACGATACCTCACTCGAGACGCACGACTACACACATCACCATACCAAACGCCCTTTGCCTGTGGTGGAGACTACCAGCAGTAGCAGTAAGCCCCTGCCGTACCAGTGTAGTGTCTGTGGGTGCAGCTTGGCATCGCAGATGGCCATGATGGAACACATGCGTACCCACACAGGACTTGTGGTCCACTGCCGTGCGGAAAGCTGTGACTTCTCGACGCCACTAGGCACAGATACCCTGCGAGAACATGTTGCGACACTGCACGGGAACGAAGGCGGCTGCTGTACAGCTCGATGTCCCCACTGTGGTTTGGCGTTAGGTACGGGTGATGCGATCAAACGCCACCAAGGGCAGCATCATGATGCACTAGAGAAGTGCGCCTTGTGCGACGCAATCTTCAGGAAACATTTTGCCAGCACTGTAAAAGACAACGTGAACAACAATGTATGCAATAACAGGAGATGCAGTAGTAGTGGTGTGACTGATTCAAACATGAACCATTCTACCTTGCTTCAGAGGGCAGAAGACCACAGCAGTCGTGATGGAACTACAGGATCTAAACGTTCCAGAAAACAGAGCCAACCAAGGAGAGTTGTTCCAGATGTTCTCGATTCGGAGATGGAGATCCAAGTCTTGCGCCACCCAGGGTTCCTCAAAAGTAGATTACCAAAGAGAAAACATCAAACCAGTGCTGCAGAAATGTCACAACTCAGGGACAAATATGTTGAACTGCTTCTGGCACGGAAGGGTCTGAAGTGCAATTGGTGCCGGCAGGAAATGTTCACATTTCCATACCACACAGCAGTCAGCCTGGCGTTCCACCAGCTATGGCGACACACCAGGACCAAATTTCAGTGTGAACACTGCGAGCATGCTTACCGGCATCGCTACCAGGTGGTACTTCATGCCAGCAGGGAACACGTCACCATTAAACCATCATCATCCAGGAGGAGGTCATCACCATCATCACCACAGCCACCATCGGCATCATCCGAACCAGTAACAGTGCCTGAACCTTCTTCAAAGGAACCAAAACTTTCACCTGTACCTGCACCAACAGAATCTTCATTTTCAAGCATCAATGTACCTGATTTATTAGTAAACCCAAATACAACTGTAAATATATCCCTACTAAGAGACCCCAAACCCTGTCACATAGACTCATCCATGCTGAACACACCTCTGGCTGCACCAATACCTCCAAAATCCTCCTCCTCCTCCTCACCATCATGAGACATGTTCATACCTAGTAGCATTTAAATTCTGCATCACATTCTGTCTATTCATATGTATTTGTGTGTATAATAATGTTTTCTTGAGCAATGTAGTATGTGTCATCTGTAATAGACACAAGTAGGTATTACAGTATTTCATATATTTGCAGCAAGACTTTTGCACCTGTATTCTATTGGTTGACACTACCGTTCAGTACTTAATGTTCATTAATCATACATTTTAAAAAGAAAGCCACAGAAATAACAGGTGGATAGTCTTCTATGAAACAACGAACAGAGCCAAAGCACTGCAAGCAATAACTCAGTAGTTGAGTGCACTGTCTCTGTACCGCAGACTTTTTATTTTCATGATTCAACATTCTAATAATAAAAATAATACGTGTTGATGAACTATTTATCATGCCTGTAACTACTTCAGCAATGCAAATACCAAGCTAGCACCTACAAATATGTCCAAGGAATCTTGTGGTGTTGTCGGCTGATGTGATGACATTGTCTGGATTTCATTCATGTCATAAAAATGCTGTAAGAACTATCACTGAAAACTGTGTTAATTTTTCCTGTAAATCTTTGACAGAGTTCATTTTCCTGATATACTATCTATATTAGAACAAGATACAAATTACCATCTAAGTATATAATTTATATCCTGTTCCTGTAAGTGATTTTAGAATTACAAGTATATCAATTCAAAATAAAGTATTCAAAACCAGTGTTAAACAAAAGTCAGGCTAATAACTGCATCACACACACACTCAATGCACTGATATAACTCTTATTTTACATGTTGAAAGGAACTACAGACTCTCTTTCCAATTTACGACCATAAATAAAATGTAAATACTGGGATGAATACTGTTGCTGTTTAATGACAGATTTATCAGTTTAGCTCTTTAAACACATATGCAACATATAACCACTGTTCACTTTTTGGCTGCTTATCTCATTCAAGTTTGAATTACTCTTATTTCATCTCAATACTCTATTGCTTACCATTGAAATTTTGAAGCGCAAGGAAGATTTATATCCTGTGGCAGAGTTATGAGGTTTCATTATCTAAATCTCTGGTAAAGTGAGCTTCACTGGGGAATCTTTATGTGACAGCCATCCATGTTTTATTGATGTAGAGGTACTTCAAGAGGCAGTTTCAAAGCAGACATGTTAACACAGCTACACTGCAGTAGGTTTCAAATTTGCTACAGTAATCAATGCAAGACACCCTCCTACTGCACATTAACTTTGTAGAAAAACAGTATTTAAGACTGTAAATTTGCCATTTGCACAAGGAAAAAGCTATGCTTTTGCTGAACAGATCTTTAACTTAAATAATGGAAGCTCATGCTGCTCATTGGTGAAACAATTCTGGCCAGTATGGGACAACTGGACTATAGTTTTTCAAGTTTTTTTTTTATGTGACCGCAAATCATTTGTCCACAGAAATTTTCAAGTTGTCTTTATACACTTAATGATAGCATGTGAAAGGCATCAGATGGCAACGCTTAAAATTACAAAGATATATTAATGAATGTGGACATTCATGTAATTCCCATATTACATGTGGTCCAATTTTAAACAGAATTCTCCATATCAATTTATTTGCATTGGGGGAGGACGGGGACTGACGTACATAAAGCAGCAGGAAAAGTTGCAAAACACCCAGTTTGTTTTCGACACCAGAATAGAGTCTATGGCATTCCAAATTATGGTAAGATTAATGGCGCTAACATTCAAACTTCAAATAAATTATTACATAATATATTCCAGTTTCCTTGCCTGTATCATTTCAAGCACCCTGAGTTGCTCAACGGGTGAGATAAGGATAGGTTAGCATTACGTAAATATCAATTAATCAAGATTCCAACTTTCACGTACAACACACTCATATGCTGGTTTTAATATAGTGAAAGCTACTATTCTGGCAGCATACAACTTACATCTTGTGTTGAGCAATTCATTTTCCTAGATTACTTGTATAGTTGACAGGAAACTGGGTGCAGAAAACCCAACAGTATAGAAATCTTTTATTTACTCAGTTTAAAATTAAAATATTATGCACAGTAAAACCATTATCTTACCAGACCAGCGTCCCATGAGTCCCAGAAGAGTCCAAGACCTCTGATGATGAATGGAGATGTTTACTGAAAAAAATAGTATTTCTTTTTAGATTTCATAAAAATGGTTTAATGATACTAAATTATTACTAAAATCAGTTTGCTTTAATTTCAGTTTTAAATATTTATTGGACAGGGGAAGGAATAAATGGACTGGGATTTTGCAGAACAGTACAGTGTATTAAGAGAGCTGCACAAGAAAGAAAAGCTGTAGATAGATTTTACCTCTGCTAAAAATTTTCATGCAATGAAATTCGTAAGTGTACAGAATATAATTTGAGAAATAAAACAGTTCCTTTCAAGATTGTAAATTTAAAAATATATGACCAAAATACGAAGTCCATGGTTTGTTCTACTGTTGTTTCTATAATTAATGTGGAATTTTTATTACATAATTAAGTGGAGGAATTGTTTTGAAAGAGACTGTGGACCTGTCGTCTTGACAGATTACTGATGATGATGANTGCACATTATAAGCATAACAGCCCTTATCCTTCTGACACAAGTATACAGAATACCAAATAGTTATAACTACTATGTATGGTTCCTTATAAATATATGAAATTTAGTGCATCAACTGGTAGTAAATACTTCCTAAATTTTAAATCCAACATGAATTTTACATCTGTTATCTTTCATACTTCATACAGTGTCCATCACCTCAAATTCTTTTGGATGACCTTGATAGAAATCAAATAAGAGAAATGTCGTAGACATAAATTGAANAACAATGCATACCTGTACATATACTGAGTATCACAAAGTCATATTCTATCCTTTAAGAATTCATGCTTATAAACAAAAAATCAATTGCATAACTAAGTTGCGTCATCAATGCTTTACTTTAATCATGAGACAGAGAAGAGTAATAATAGAAACAAATGTGCAGAATTGCTACTCTAGAATGGCCAGATTGTTCTTTCTTACTGAATAACATGATACAAGATGTGCAGCTAATGGAATGTTGAAGAAAGAAATGGGGATGAATGAAGTAGTAAGATGTAATGAGAAGTTACATTGTAATTATAGGCACCTGTTCATAGAGGGATGCTGAGAAAGTTATGTAAAACATTGGAGAATGAAGTTATGTATTTATTTGTAGTTCATTTAATGATGCTGTCAGTAACACAATTACGGAGAAGATTCTGGCTGAAATTTGAACTGAACACTTGCTAAACATGATGCAGAAGTTGTAACATCACAACATTCAGTGGAAAGTGAAGAAATAGTTACTTATTTCAACACATCCGCTAAATTGAATGGAAAAAAGGAAAACAGATCTTCAGCATTTTTATCTTTGCAGCGTGAATAAACTAAGGATTGTAAGAAAGTATAAATAAATGACAACTTTATGATATGACATTTACATCTTCCCTATGGGAAAATGTTATCCTTGAACAAAATATGTAATATTATTTAACATTCAGAACAGTTTAAAACCTGAGACCAGTGAACAGCCTTTTTGGAACATCTGTTCACCTTAGCTTAAAACAGAAACAATATCCCAAACAAGCTTAATCTACTCTACAAACAACCATAAACCACCAAGTCTTAATTTGGTAATTAAAATTCTTGTTGTAGTATATAAAGCCGCATAGTCATAAGTTAACTCTTGACATAATGTAAAATATTTTACCTCGTCCTACATATAGGCAACATACAAAGAAGGAAATGATTGCTAGCCACAGAAATTCATCTGTCTCGATAAGTCATACTGTCCACCCAGTCAGCAGGAAATGTGGGTTTAGCTCCCAACTGTGCAACAATTTTTTCACTTTGTTCAGTTCTGACGAATAGTTATGAATCCATGTTGTTATTCAAAAATGCATACAAGACAAGAAACAAGTAGAAGATTAACACAGAAATATGTAATTTCAAAGAACACTTGATAAGAAAACTTAACCACTGGAACATGGTCCTCTTCTTCACACTATTAAAATTGTTCTATATGAAGGCTGCTAGTTCACTGCATATAATGCAGATTCATCACATTATTTAATATTATCTGTTAATTACTGAACATTAATTAGTTCATACAGTTTTCAATGCAGATGTAAAGAATGATTTGCTCTTACTGAGACAACTTCAGAATTTCATGTTAATGATGAGGATGAAATAACATTGTTCTTTGTATAGCTGTGAGATGGAAGCCACCTAATTTACTCTTTTATCTGAACAGTATGTAAACTGAGGCATAGGCTGCAAAATATACATGTAAGCTTTGTCAGTGTACAGTTAGTATAGAAGCTACATTTCAAATGTTTGCCATATATAAAGCTGGATTATAGAGTAGTATAAAAGTAACACTACAATTTTATGTCAGGTTGTGGCCTCAGCTGTGTGTGTACAGAATTCCAGTTGTGAACTGCATGTCAACAATGCTAGTTAACAGATTTTAATGATTTTTATAAGGGTATAAATACTACAGAAATGGTCTTAAATTGTACTGCTACTTTTGTATCACCCTGTGATTTAATGTCCTTGCATTTCAAAAACTGTCCTGCTCATAACAATGACAAGCAAGCAGGACCGATAAACTCTGCTCATTTAACCACTTTCCAAATAACACTGGCACTCAGTTAACTTAATGTTGGGTAAAGTGAAATATTTAAATAGGGAAAACAAAAAGGACTCCAGTAACAGTTTAAACCATATTCTGGTCATGAAACATCTCTTCTGAATACAGTAAAACTTGGTTATAGCAACATCGGTTTCTGCGACACCTTGTCTATTGCGTCAAATATTCAATGGTGCGAACTAATTCCTCATAAAGCAACTGTTTTTATACCTTGCTTAGTACGACATGCACAAATGCATCAACCTCGTATGTAACGTCATTTTCATTCCTGAATTTCTCTGATATGGACATTGAACGTAATTTAGAAAGTGTGTATTGGGCAAGTAACAGGAAACAGATGAAGATAACTGATTACTGTACTCGTATCTAGGTACAGTAAGGCACAACAATTGATGTAATCTACTGTAATTTGGTGAGTAGGCCTACCTTTAATATACAGTATTAGTGCGGTGTGTATTGTCAGTGAAAAGCGCTGTAATATGTCTTTGATATTACACATTTGGGCAATTCCACGTTAATGTTACGTTAGTCTGTACTTAACTATGTATTTCACTAAAAAATGCAACATTTTAACTCGGTTTTTGGTAGATTTTTACGTGACTAACATAAGGCTACTGTGGAAGTGGCCATTTCGGTTACAACGACATTCGTTTATAACGACACTATTTTTAGGTCCCTTTGATGACGTTATAACCAAGTTCTACTGTATGTTCAAATTTTTAAAGGATATTCATATAACCTGCACAAAATATTTACAATATTGGCAACTGCACGTAATCTGAAATATGATCTGGGTTACTAAATATTCCACATAAATTAACAAATTAATGTAAACATGTATTGAATCGTTAGTTTTATATGACCTGTACATGACATTTACTCTTGTTTCTGGCAAATCAGGTTTCCCATAATATACATCTTGTCTGTAAGAGTAGAAATAGCAATACCAATCCACTGACATCAATACAGTACCTTTAAATAACTAAATAACTTACAAACAAAATATTAACAGAATATGAATTGTCTTTGTCTCTGAATACTTTCAACCATGTAGGAGAAAAGCCTCAATTGATTATATTTTTAACAATTCATATAACTGTTATATAATTTTTGTTGTCGCTATTTACAGTTCTTACAGAGTTTGCATTTAGAACTGTACACATTCAAAGTCAGAGCTCCTCCATAAAATCAGTGAACAGAAAAACTGTAATGCTTGAGCTCCCCACAAACACAAGCTGTAAACCTACCAAACGATATTATATAATATAATATATATATAATATATATAATTATATATATTATACCAAACGTATTATATATAACATATGATATAAGACCAAATCAAATACAGGAATTCACATACAAACCATATATAGGAAGCTCCGATAGGAATTAGAAGTTATAATGTGACTTTACGGGAAATGCAAGAACATGACGAACTTAACAGCAATGAAACATATGCTCAATGCTTTATTAAGTCCATCACAACACAACAATACAGTGTTCAAGGCTAAATTAGCTTTGCTACATGTTTCAGCTATTCATAGCCATTATCAGGCAAACACGTGATCATCATGTTTACATACAAGTGAACTGCAATTGCATAGTGAGCCTGCATACTTGAAAATTATCATATGTAAAGCACAAAGTATGAAAATTACAATGAAATATAAACTTATTATAAAACAAAAGTTTTGCCATAAAATAAGGTTAAATCTATTCAAGTGATAAGCTATATCATGAAGTCAGTCAATGCTATCTTGTATTTTCCCGTGGACGATGGTATATTCTAGACTTTTATATGATAAACTATTTGGAGGCCCGTGAAGTATAGTTTTAACATTAACTGTTTGGTCGGTGCCGCATCTTACAATGTACTTGTGTCTGTTCTGTAGGGAATACAGATTGCAGCTGTAATATAGCATTGCGTATAGTAACACAACAGGATGCATGAAATGAAAAAGAAAACATATGCTGTTCAACATTAAAACAGACCAAGGTCCTCTGAAAGTCCTTGGGTTATCAAACATTGCAAATATGTGTTCTGAATCACAATATTACAATTATATTAAAATGTAAAATATGTCTAACTGTATGTTGTATGGTATAAATAATTTTTCAAGCACTGTGATCAAATGAATGACTATGTAATATTAAAAACTGAAAGCTAAAACCTGACATCAGATTGAAGATGCAGTCTTCTTGGATGTGACACAATATAGACTGGTAGATAGGTATCAACTTTTTAGATGAACAGGGTCAAAGAGCTCTTCTTCCCTCACTTCTGCTCTGAATATGGAGGCAGCAGGTCTCTCCAAAATGTTGGTACCTATCTACCAAACCACATGATGTCATATCCCAGAAGACCATAATATTCATATTCACCACAAAGACCTCAAATCTCGAACTGAAGATATCACAAACCAACATTGAATTATATTACTAGATTCTATTCATAAAAGCACCTCTGATGTTTACTACTTGTTTTGTACTATTATCATGAGACCAATGTACTTGTAACAATATGACTGATGACATATTTTCTTACTTTTTTTATACAGATTTGTGAGAAAAAGTCTCAAATGTAATACTGTATTAGTACTGTAAGAAGCATAATCAGGCATTAATTAAGACTTTCGATGATTCACCAATGATACCAAGATTATCATCTGTAATAACTTATACAAGTAATACTATTGTTATCTGACTTGAAAAAAAAATCTTTATATTTGGTAAAACCTGCTCTTATTAGAAAATTCAATTTTTTATGGCTAGTTAGAATTTGTTGAATCATTTGATTATAGTATGTGTATATAAACATGAATCTCGGTTGCTCTTTTGTTGATA